ATCTCTCTGGTGAGCACATGTGTCCTGTAGCAAAAATCTGTCTCTAAAAAAATATTTAAGAAGTCAATTCAAGGCTGTAGCGGAGACTGTGAGTTTTTCACCAGAATGAACTCCCCCCAGATCCAGTGCTGAAGGGAAACTGGGTAAATGGCTGAAAAGCCTCCTTATAGCATGCACCCAATAGCAGAAATCTCTCTTTTTAAAAAAAAAAATGACCATATAAAATTGATTGGGTCACATTGTTAGATTCTCTGTTCTAGAATTAATATGAACTTTGACATAGAACAATTTTGTTTCAAGACTCTTACCATTTGAAAAGCATGTCAGTCTTGTATGTGCGTTATACTTATCAAACACGGGTAAAGTTTCTCCTAACATTAGTCTTGAGAACCTGTTGTTTGACATACTTTTTAATGTAAAACAAACCTTAGTGTTAGAACAAACAAATGATTGTATTTGTTACATATTGAAGATGTGTTTTTTAATATTTTCAACAAAAAGCAATGATAAAGGGACCAGCAGTTAGCATAATGGCTGTGTCCCTGGATTCCCATGTAGTCGACCGCAGTTCAAGTCCCAGACCCTGCGGCTTAAACTCACTCCAGGCATATGTGCGTGTGTGCCCAAGATCCTGAGAGGAGAATGGAGGAGAAGGGATTGCGGCATGGCCATCCCCCTGGGGGGTGATTTCTCGCTTTCTATCTCTCTGTCTCTCTTGCTTTCGGGCGAGCGCACGCGCCCTATAGCAAAAACCTCTCCAGAAAAGGGGGGGGGGGATGATATAGTAGTTTACAAACCTTAGTGTTAGAACAAATGGATAATTGTATTTACTATGTATTGAAAATGTGTTTTTTAATATTTTCAACAAAAAGCAATGATATGGTATTTGTGATTTAGTAGGCTTCATGTTCTTTTCCTTTATTATTCCTTATGCTACCCAAATTATAATTAGAAATAAAATTCTCTTTTTTTTTTTTAAAAATAAATTTCTTTTTTTTTTTTTTTTTTTTTTTGTGTCTGGAGAGGTGTTTGCTATAGGGTGCGTGCACTTGCCAGACAGACAGAGACATAGAGACAGAAAGCGAGAAATTACC